AGTGGCTGCACCAGTCTGCATTCCCACCAGCAGTGCACGAGGGTTCCTTTTTCTCCACATCCTCTCCAGCACTTGTCATTTGTTGATTTGTTGATGATAGTCATTCTGACAGGTGTGAGGTGGTACCTCATTGTTGTTTTCATTTGCATCTCTCGGATGATTAGTGACTTTGAGCATGTTTTCATGTCTCTCGGCCTTCTGTATGTCCTCTTTCTAAAAGTGTCTATTTAGGTCCTTTGCCCATTTTTTGATTGGATTGTTTAATCTTCCTTTTAAGTTGTATGAGTTCTCTGTTAATTTTGGAGATTTAACCCTTATCAAATATAACGTTGGAAAATGTGCAGTGGGCTTTCTTGTTGTTTTGTTGATGGTTTCTTTTGCTGTGCAGTAGCTTTTTATTTTGATGTAGTCCCATTTGTTTATTTTCTCCTTAGTCTCCATTGCCCTAGGAGCTGTGTTGGTAAAGATATTGCTACGACATATGTCTGCTATTTTGCTGCCTATGGAGTCTTGTAGGATTTTTGTGGTTTCCCATCTTACATTTAAGTCCTTTAGAAATTTTGAGTTTGTTTTCGTGTATGGTGTAAGTTGGTGATCTAGTTTCATTTTTTTGCGTGTATCTGACCAAATTTCCCAGCATCATTTATTGAAGAGACTGTCTTGACTCCATTGTATGCTCTTGCCTCCTTTGTCAAATATTAATTGAGCATAATGGCTTGGGTCGGTTTCTGGGCTCTCTGTTTGGTTCCATTGGTCTATTTGTCTGTTCTTGTGCCAGTACCAGAGTGCCTGGCACTTTAGTCAGCTCTAATTAGTAATGTTAGCCTCTTCATCGACACCATTAAGTCATTAAAACATTTTAATGTTGTGTGCTTATTAAGTAAGACATTTAACTTGGCCTCAGTTTTCTCATCTGTAAAATGACAGGCTGCATGAGGTTTCTGTTAGCTCGAATAATTGTAATGTTGTGATGGTGTTCGTGTGAGTAGTTTATCCCTATACAGTCTAGGTATACTGTACTTGCTCCTTAGCCATACTTCCTAGATCAGTGATTCCCAAAGTGGGCGCTACCGCCCCCTGGTGGGCGCTGCAGCGATCCAGGGGGGGCGGTGATGGCCACAGGTGCATTTGTTTTAACTTTTTTTATATTACCTTTCTATTCTGAGTTCAATAAATAGTTTCATAATTTCAAACTTCAATGTTTCTAATTTACACCTTTCTTTACTATATTTTACGAAAAAGGTAGAAACATTAATACATATATCTTTCTGTTTAATTGCTATTAAAATTTAAAAAAAATTAATTTCCAGGGGGCACTGAGTAATATTTTTTCTGGAAAGGGGGCGGTAGGCCAAATAAGTTTGGGAACCACTGCCCTAGATGGTGCAGTTGATCTGGTTTCTTGGAAATCTTCCGAAAAAAGAAATGGGGTTAAATTTGGCTCCACTGGAGGCATTTCATTGCAGCATTTGTAGCTGGAATGGAATGGAGAGTGTGATTTGTTGGCGGTACTGTAAAGAGAGAAAAGGAAATGAAATCAAAGTCCATTTACACTTACTAATGGGAAGCAAATATGGAATGATGGCAGTGATGGTAACAATTCACATTTATTGACCATTTTCTTTTTCCCCCTCTTAAATATGTATTTATTGATTTCAAAGAGGGAGTGGGAGAGAGACCTAGAAACATCAATGAGTAGAGAGAATCATTGATCGGCTGCCTCCTGTATGCCCCACACTGGGATTGAGCCCGCAACCTGGGCGTGTGCTCTGACTGGTTATCCAATGGTGACCTCCTGGTTCAACCACTGAGCTACGCCTGCCGGGCTTTATTGAGCTTTTTCTATATGGGGGGCATGTATTATTTCATTTTATCTTTGCCCTAATCCCATCTAGTATATAGTCTTATTATCCCTGTTTTGCAGATGAGGAGACAGAGCACAGAAAGATTAAGGAATTTGCTAAGGTCACACAGCTAGTAGGTGACTGACTTGGGATTTGAACATATATACTCTAACTAGCATCCATGCTTAACCATGATGCTATATTGAATTGATTCCAGATGGAGAATCAACTAAGTTTAAATAACTAAAACACTTTAAATGAGTACGTACAATTTTTTACCAACTTTTTATTTTGAAAAATCACAAACTTAGAAAAAAGTTGAAACACTAATATAAGGAACATTATATAGAATCAGCAATTTTGCTTCATTTGGTTTGTCTGTATAATATTTCCTTTTTAAAAAAGTAAATAGCAAACATCATGATGCTTCTAAGAATAAAGACAGTCTTCCAAGTAACAGTACATAGTGTTGTTATGACACACAAGAAGTATGGCATTGAGTATTGACAATTCTAATAACCTTTAGTTTGTACTGGATAGGTCAGATCTCTTACTAGATCATTGAAATTGCACTGCTTAAAAAAATCCTTATGAAAATCTGATTTTCTTCTTCTCAGAAATCATATTCCATGCCCATTGGCATTGAATTTCAGCGGAGATATGCAACAATCGTTCTAGAGCTTGAACAGCTGAACAAGGACCTAAACAAAGTTTTGCATAAAGTTCAGCAGTACTGCTATGAGGTAGGTAATTTGCATGAATTTTCCTTGAGGATCTGTGCCCTCTATACTTTCATTTGAAGCTTAATACTGTTACACACTTTAGAAAATCCAAACTAAGCCAATATCTTTATAAAATCCTTTAACAGAACCATATTTCATATATATTTTTATTCCTTACAGTATCAGTGTCGAACAGTGCTTTTATATCCAGTGAGCTATCAATTTTATTGATTTTGTTCGTTTGGATTACAACTGATATAGGTCTCAAAAGATTTTAGAAAAATAATTACTCTTTTAAAAAAAATTTTATTGATTGATTTTAGAGAGAAAGAGGACGGGGTGTGGGGGAAGAGAGAGATTTGTTGTCCCACCTATTCATGCATTCATTGGTTGATTCCTGCATGTGCCCTGATTGGGGATCGAACCCACAACCTTGGCACATCAGGATGATGCTCCAGCCACCTGAGTTACCTGGTCAGGGAGAAATATAATAACTTAATTCTGCTGTCCCAAAGACTATATTTTGGTTTGTTTCCCCTTAGTTTTTATATATACTAGTATATGCTTGTTATCACTAAGTTATGGTCATGCCGTGTATACAATTTTATTTCTTCCTCCTTTAAACTTTACATTACAACTGTGGATTGTTGAACTCAAGCACATAGGTCATAGGGTTATTTGTGAATTGCCATTATCATGCACACAAAATTATATATATGGCCCTAGCTGGTTTAGCTCAGTGGGTAGAGTGTTGGACTGAAAGGTCCCAGGTTCAAGTCCAGTGAAGGCTGCATGCTCGAGTTGTGGGCTTGATACCCAGTGCAGGAGGCAGCCAATCAATGATTCTTTCTCATCATTGATGCTTCTATCTCTCTCTCCTCTTTCTTCCTCTCTGAAATCAATAAATATATATTTCACATTTATTGACCATTTTCTTTTTCCCCCTCTTAAATATGTATTTATTGATTTCAAAGAGGGAGTGGGAGAGAGACCTAGAAACATCAATGAGTAGAGAGAATCATTGATCGGCTGCCTCCTGTATGCCCCACACTGGGATTGAGCCCGCAACCTGGGCGTGTGCTCTGACTGGTTATCCAATGGTGACCTCCTGGTTCAACCACTGAGCTACGCCTGCCGGGCTTTATTGAGCTTTTTCTATATGGGGGGCATGTATTATTTCATTTTATCTTTGCCCTAATCCCATCTAGTATATAGTCTTATTATCCCTGTTTTGCAGATGAGGAGACAGAGCACAGAAAGATTAAGGAATTTGCTAAGGTCACACAGCTAGTAGGTGACTGACTTGGGATTTGAACATATATACTCTAACTAGCATCCATGCTTAACCATGATGCTATATTGAATTGATTCCAGATGGAGAATCAACTAAGTTTAAATAACTAAAACACTTTAAATGAGTACGTACAATTTTTTACCAACTTTTTATTTTGAAAAATCACAAACTTAGAAAAAAGTTGAAACACTAATATAAGGAACATTATATAGAATCAGCAATTTTGCTTCATTTGGTTTGTCTGTATAATATTTCCTTTTTAAAAAAGTAAATAGCAAACATCATGATGCTTCTAAGAATAAAGACAGTCTTCCAAGTAACAGTACATAGTGTTGTTATGACACACAAGAAGTATGGCATTGAGTATTGACAATTCTAATAACCTTTAGTTTGTACTGGATAGATCAGATCTCTTACTAGATCATTGAAATTGCACTGCTTAAAAAAATCCTTATGAAAATCTGATTTTCTTCTTCTCAGAAATCATATTCCATGCCCATTGGCATTGAATTTCAGCGGAGATATGCAACAATCGTTCTAGAGCTTGAACAGCTGAACAAGGACCTAAACAAAGTTTTGCATAAAGTTCAGCAGTACTGCTATGAGGTAGGTAATTTGCATGAATTTTCCTTGAGGATCTGTGCCCTCTATACTTTCATTTGAAGCTTAATACTGTTACACACTTTAGAAAATCCAAACTAAGCCAATATCTTTATAAAATCCTTTAACAGAACCATATTTCATATATATTTTTATTCCTTACAGTATCAGTGTCGAACAGTGCTTTTATATCCAGTGAGCTATCAATTTTATTGATTTTGTTCGTTTGGATTACAACTGATATAGGTCTCAAAAGATTTTAGAAAAATAATTACTCTTTTAAAAAAAATTTTATTGATTGATTTTAGAGAGAAAGAGGACGGGGTGTGGGGGAAGAGAGAGATTTGTTGTCCCACCTATTCATGCATTCATTGGTTGATTCCTGCATGTGCCCTGATTGGGGATCGAACCCACAACCTTGGCACATCAGGATGATGCTCCAGCCACCTGAGTTACCTGGTCAGGGAGAAATATAATAACTTAATTCTGCTGTCCCAAAGACTATATTTTGGTTTGTTTCCCCTTAGTTTTTATATATACTAGTATATGCTTGTTATCACTAAGTTATGGTCATGCCGTGTATACAATTTTATTTCTTCCTCCTTTAAACTTTACATTACAACTGTGGATTGTTGAACTCAAGCACATAGGTCATAGGGTTATTTGTGAATTGCCATTATCATGCACACAAAATTATATATATGGCCCTAGCTGGTTTAGCTCAGTGGGTAGAGTGTTGGACTGAAAGGTCCCAGGTTCAAGTCCAGTGAAGGCTGCATGCTCGAGTTGTGGGCTTGATACCCAGTGCAGGAGGCAGCCAATCAATGATTCTTTCTCATCATTGATGCTTCTATCTCTCTCTCCTCTTTCTTCCTCTCTGAAATCAATAAATATATATTTTTTTAAATTATATATATGAATGTGGTTGCAGGTTCGATCCCAGGTCCTGGTCAGGGCGTTTACAGGAAGCAACCAATCGATGTGTCTCTTGCACATCAATGTTTCTTTCTCTGTCCCCCTCCTTCCCTTTCTTCCACTCTCTCTAAAAATTAATGGAAAAAAATATACTCAGGTGAGGATTAACAACAACAACAACAAAAAGATGCCATAACAAAGCTGATGATACATGCAGAAGTGGGTTGCCCATCAGTCTTTCTGTATAATTTCATACGTACACAAGGCCCTTTGTGATAGTCTCATTTTCTAATGAAGTAAAATTACTCAATTTTCAGAGTACTTTTGTGGAAGTATAATATTGATTTTAATATAAGAACACGTCAGAGAGAACACTTATGACTAAGAAATTGTACTCCTAAGTACATACCAATACTTAATATATATGTGAACAGATATTTACCAAAAGTTATACACTAGAATGTTCATAGCATCACTGTTCATTATAGCCAAAAATTAGCAATCACCCAAATACCCATTAATAGTAGAATAAATTAATAAACTGTCATAAAATTATCCAATGGAATATTCTCAGCAATGAGAATGAATGAACGCAACTACATGCAACACATGGATGAACTCACAAATATAATGTTGAACAGATAAAATCAGACACAAAAGAATATATATAATGCATGATTCCATTTACCAGTATGTAAAGCTCAAAAGCTAGTCTATGATGCTAGAAGTCAGGATGGTGGTTACCCTCAGAGCATTACACTGGAAGTTGGCGTTAGAGGGCCTCTGAAGTAATGTTCTATTTTTTAATCTAGATGCTGATTTCTCAGGCATGTTTGATTTGTGAAAATTCATTAGTCCATATACTTTATGATTTGTGAACTTTTATGTAGTGATGTATATACTTCAATTAAAATTTTTTTTAGAAAGTGTTAGAGGACTAGGCTACTCACTGGAGCATATTGGTAATTGCAAAATATTAGATAAAACCTAAAATCCCACACCCAGGGGATTGGCTAAATAATACGGTGCAGCCGCACAGTGGAGTGCTCTGCTGCTGCGAGAACGAACCCAGACGCTCTCTATTTGCTGATGGAGTGTCCAGGGTATAGTAAGTGAAAAAAGTAAGGCACGAAACATGTAGGTCACCTTTGGGGAAGCAGGAATCCACAGAAGTAAAATAGACTTGCCTCTGCTTAGTTTTTCCAAAACACCCAGGAAGGATAAACCGGAAACCCATCTGGGAGCCGAGTGGGGACAGAGGAGAGAGGAGGAGTGACATTTCTGTCCGCGTTTGTTTCCTCAGCAAATACAGGTAAACTGTAAAGTGGGATGCGAACAAAGGAGCCTAACTGGTTCAGAGGAGCAGCACGAGCACCCTGAAGGGCAGAGCCGCATCCACATGACTTTACCATAGTATCTTGTCAACCAAACGTTAAACCAACACTGAGCTCGAGTTGATAGGGTTTCTCTCATGGTGGTGAAGGGTTAGCAATGCTGAGACACGGTCCTAGGACTAAGCAAATGGTTAAGTGAGTATATGAGGATAATGGGAGCCAAGCCTCGCCCTGTTGGAGAAAGGACTTACCGAGAAGGGGAGACCAGAGCGAACCCTTCGGTATGCGACTAGACTAGGAAGAGTCGTATGAATTCCTGGTTCATTTTATGTTTATAACGTGGGTATAAGTACGTGTGGATGTGTGCTGAGAGAACCTAGAGCCAGGACACCCACAGCCTGAGCGCACTAAGCATACCCAGCATCCACATCTCAGTGTCTAAACACTGCTCTCCCACAAAGGAAGCAGCGCTCCTTGGAAAGGAGACAGATCCCAGAGCTGGGGCAGAGAGTGTAGAAGATGAGCCTGGACCGTCTTACTGTGCTAGGGAAGTAAAATGTGCCCCAGAATTATGGGGACGTATCAGAAGGGACCAGCTCAACAGGACCCCCACTTGCCAAATCTGGGACAATTTGAGCTTCAGCATAAGTAATTATAGTAAGAAGTTATAACCCATTGAATAAAATAAGATCCATGAGTCCACTAATATTACTTATTTCTTAAGGAAAAACTCTTAATAGTAAAATATCAATAATAAACGTGGAAGGAATGATAAGAATGAGAAAGATACCATTTGTCAACTCTCATAGTAATATTTGGTAAAGATGAGAATCATCAATAGATGCTAAGACTAGTGGGTAAAAGTTTGATGAGGAACATAATCTTTACAAAGCCTCACAATCTCTCTTCTCAAATACTTATTCATGACTAAGGGGCAGATCCTTTACGTTGGGGAATCTGCAGACACTTAACTGCCTTAAGCAAGTGATCAAAGATAACACCACAGTGATGGGACTAGATGCCTCCTGGTCATGATCCACAGAGAAGTCAGCATCACGCTGTGGTTCCTGCCCAAACTGCATAACCTCTGTGTAGTCAGGAGGAAACAGACAAACCACATTGAGGGATGTTATACAAAGTAATTGGCGGGTCCTCTTCAAAAACATCAAGGTCATGAAATACTATGGAAACATCAAGGTCATGAAATACTATGGAAACATCAAGGTCATGAAATACTATGCAAACATCAAGGTCATGAAATACTATGCAAACATCAAGGTCATGAAATACTATGCAAACATCAAGGTCATGAAATACTATGCAAACATCAAGGTCATGAAATACTATGCAAACATCAAGGTCATGAAATACTATGCAAACATCAAGGTCATGAAATACTATGCAAACATCAAGGTCATGAAATACTATGCAAACATCAAGGTCATGAAATACTATGCAAACATCAAGGTCATGAAATACTATGGAAATAGAAGGTCATGAAGTAAAGGAATTAAAGGGACATGATAACCAAATGCATTCGGGGGAAACAGCCATGTTAAGACATCCTTGAGTCAATTAAGAAATCTGAATGTGGACTATCAGAAAATGGAATTAAATCAATGTTAAATTCCCTGAGTGTGATAACTGGACTATTCTTTTTTAAAAAACATTTTTTATTGATTCCAGAGAGGAAGGGTGAGGAAGAGAGAGAGAGAAACATCAATGATGAGAGGGAATCATTGATTGGTTGCCTTCTGCATGGCGGCCCTCACTGGGGATTGAGCCTGCAACCCGAGCATGTGCCCTTGGCCGGAATCGAACCCAGGACCCTTCAGTCCTCAGGCGGATGCTCTATCCACTGAGCCAAACTGGCTAGGGCAACTGCACTATTCTTATGAAAGACAATATTCTTGTACTTAGGAAATAATGAGTATTTAGGGATAAAAAGTATAAGGGAAAAGAATTATATATACACAAACAGATCAAATGTTAAGTCAAATGCAATAAGCCATAAACAGTGAATCTGGGTAAAAGGTTATCTAGAATTTTTGTTTCATTTTTAAGAATATATATATATATTATTGATTTTAGAGAGGAAGGGAGAGGGACAGAGAGAGATAGAAACATCAATGATGAGAGAGAATCATTGCTCGGCTGCCTCCTGCATGCCCCCCACTGGGGATCGAGCCCCCAACCCGGGCATGTGCCTTTGGCTGGAATCAAACCTGGGACCCCTCAGTCCACAGTCCGGCGCTCTATCCATTGAGCCAAACCCGCTAGGGCTTGTTTCATTTTCTTTAGAAAACTGTTATAGGAGAAAAAGACTTCTAAGGTAAGAGTGCACATAATTTTTGTTATAAATGCTAGTTTTGTAAAAATCCAAATCTGAAAACGGCACAAGCACACAAATGACATGGCTTCATGAAAGTCCATCTTACGTGTCAATCTCATGTCCAGCTTGCTCCAGACCAGGGGCTGCAGCCTGCAGACCAGCCTACAGACATGAGACGGAGGTGTGAGGAGGAGGCACAGGAAATCGTTCGGCATGCGAATTCCTCAGCAGGGCAGCCCTGTGTTGAAAATAAAAACCTGACAGACCTCATCTCCAGGCTTACAGCTATTTTATTACAAATTAAGGTAAATTTTGGAGAAAATGTTTTCTTAATATCGACACCTAAACGGACTATGCTAATTTGTTGCTAAAAAATTGTAATATATAGATTATATCGGTATTTTTTTTGTCTGTAGTTGAACTATAAATTAAATTTTGAAATGTTTTTTCCTTTTAGTGTCTAGCAGAAGGAGGAGACCTGAATTCCTTTGAATTCAAATCACTTACAGATTCATTGAATGATATCAAGAGTACAATAGATGTTTCTAATATCAGGTAATTCATTAGATGTACCCTAATCATTTTTATATTAAATTCAGTGATTTCCAGTACTAGTTTTAAGAATTATGCATATTTGTGAAGTACTTACATAATTTGTGTCCTTTAAATAAATTGTAAAAGAGCTTTTCAGTTATATCCAGTCTATTGATAGAATAGAAACTTCACATGGAATTTTTTTTTCACATGGAATTTTTATATAAAGGAATCAGAAAACATAATATTTAGTTGTTTTTTAAAAATATATATTTTTATTGATTTCTGAGAGGGTGGGAGAGGGGAATTGGACAGTAACCACCTGGTTCATAGGTCCACGCTTAACCACTGAGCCACGCCTGCCCGGCTCGGTTTTGGTTTAGCATGGAGGCTCCGCATAGAGGTAGAGTATCCTCTTCCCATCACTCCTTGGCTCCTTGCTGCTTTCGAGTATCCTCCTTCAGTTAGTTCTGACAGAATTAGGGCTACTTGAAGGGTGGAATCCTTATCTTAGCTATCTCCTAATATTCTTAGCTATTTTCCTTTTTAAAAAATTGTTTTTAATTTTGTGAAATAAAGCAGTTAACTATATTTTTTCTTTCTTTAGTTGCTTTCAGAATAATGTAGAAATCCACGTTGCACATATTCAGAGCGGCCTAAGCCAGATGGGAAACTTACATGCCTTTGCAGAAAATAACACCAACAGAGACTGAGTAGAAGATTTAATTATTCCTACTGATAGGACATGGTTTTCGAGAAGTTCTTTCCCTTTATATAGGCTTCCAAGACCAAATAACCTGACTGCTGGAAAACAAGGGAAATTTACATCTGCAAATAAGGCATTTTGATATACTGTACTGCTTCTTATGCCAGCATTGCTGACCATCAGTATATTTATTTTTCTTTTATTATTCAGCTGCAGTAGCATTGCTTGTATTACATATGTTAATTAGCAAGTCGTTTTTAAACTGAAAATGTCTGAACATAATTTCATGGAGGAATACATTGGCCATTTTTTAATGTGCATGAATTCAACCCTACACGTGCAGACAGCTGTAGTGGAGAACTTGGAGCAACGGTCTTTTGTGCACATGTGTGGCAGTGTGGAAACTGCGTCTGGAAAACGGCGACTCTGGTTCATTCAGTCTCTCACCATCTCAGTCTTCAAAGGACATCATGAGCTATGGGAAGCCCTAGAGTGAAGGAAGGCACTGGAATATAGATGGGAATACAGACTGTACTAGTATATATAGTATATACTTGCCATGTGACATGGTTCTGTAGATCATTTTATAATAATAAATATTTTAATTTATCATAATTTATAAAAGAAACCTTTGTTGTTTGTCTGTTGAAAGAAAATGAAGGAGCAGGAAAAAAACCATTACTTGCAAAATGCTGAATCTCAGCAAGTGGATTTGGCATGTCTTTCCCCGTCAGTTCAGGGCAAAAAGTGCTATTGTTATGAGATTTATTAAAAAAGAAAAGACTGATAACACACTATTTTCATATTTTTTGTTTATTTGCACAACTTTTAGACCAAATTATTGGTTAAAATCCAACAATATACCATTTATAAAGTAAAAAGATTTTATAAGGAAAACATAATAACCTGTGCTGTGAAATACAGAGAAAAGGTTTGTATTTGGTTGTGGTTTTGTTTTTTTAAAGAAAACCCTGCCTAAAATATTAATCTTGTAAAAAGTGTATTTGGAATTCTCTTTGTTTTAATATAGAATATTATAAAGTCAAAATATAATAAATTGTTTTCAGATTTGGAGTTTAAGATATAGCTGTAGAAGTGGCTTTAATTCTTTTAAATGTCTCATAAAATGAGGCTTTTTATATGTTAATGTATAAAAAAACAAACGAGATTATTTTCCATTTTAAATTTTTGTATAGTTTAAAAATGCTTCCATATTCTGTGCCACTGCAGAACTTTAGTGCAGAGTTTATATTTAGCTCAACTGTTATGTTAATTAAGAAAAGCATAAATCTTTTATTCTTAATATTTGTAATTCTAAATAAATTGATCTATGAAAATTAATATTGTCTACATTTTCATTAATATAAGTTGATAAGTATTCCTTCTGTTTAAGAAGTTTTAAGGAATTACAATTTCTATTAAACTTTATTTTTAGGGGAAACAGTACAGATTAATTACTCATTCTGAATAACAAAACCATCCAATATTTTGAGGAGTTTTGTCCATCCCTGAGTAAATCACAGGAAAACACCAAGCAAGTAAGTTACGTGGCTTACTATAGACCTAGTGAAAGGTCAGTTTTAATGTATTCTGCCTAGCATTAGGTAAGTATTTTCTACATTAAAAAATTATTTCTATTGATTTTAGAGAGGAAGGGAGAGGGAGAGAGAGAAAAAACAATGATAAGAGAGAATCATTGATTGGCTGCCTCCTGCATGCCCCACACTGGAGATCGAGCCCAAAACCTGACCAGGAATCAAACTGGCGACCTCTTGGTTCCTGGGTCGAAGGTTAAACAATGAGCCACAACAGGCAGGCATACATTTCACATCTTACATTTCTTAAGGCTTACTCGTCACACGTACAGTATACCTCATTCTGCACATAGGTAAGTGCTGTCAATGTCTGTCAGTGCCATCCTGTGTTGACGGCAGGAATGGTGCTAAGAATATATTTGAATTTTATTTCTGTTTAGGGAAGAAGAAATCAATGTAATCCAAAGCAGTCATTTGGGTCAGTTGAGTGTTACTTTGAATGATGCTGCCACCTAACGCCTTTCTGGAGCTCTAAGGAAAGCCAGCAAAGCCAGGTTGAGTGAATAAGCAAGCATGTCATGTGTTAGATAGATTTGGTTCTTAATTACTTTGTTAGTTTAAAAATCAGATTCACTTGCTACCATTCAGAATCTACCAAGAGATTTGCCTATGACCTATTTTTTCTCAAATTCATGCACCGTTCTCCGTCTTCATTATCATTACAATGCTCGGCCCGCTGTCATCACTAGCCCGGCACAGGTCAGTGCTCACGCAGCCCTCCTCAGATGCAGCATCATGAAGTGATGTGTGTAACATGCAGAAGTGGTCATGTTGTCCCATCTAAAGGCCTAGGGCTCAGGACAAATGCAGAATTCTTACGAGACCTACAAAGCCATGCCTGGCCGGCCCGCCTCCCCACCTGTCAATCCTACCCCTTGCTCCGAGGGGCAGCGCAGGCTGTGCCGTCTGTTACCGATCCTCCACCTGGGTCACTCCTCAGCCTGCACGGCTTACCTTCAGCATCACCTTCTCAGAAGCTTCCCTCGACTGCAGCACACCCTCAGGTCTTCATGGACCTTTGCTCCCAGCACATTTGCAATTTGATATTTCTTTTGAGTCCATGCTGCCTTCTTTGCTCAATGAGGGGAAGGACTGTTTCTGGTTTTCTCATCACTTATTTCCAGGCCCTAGTGAAGCATCGGTTCATAGGCACCAAATACTTGTGGAATGAATGAACAAGTAAGAGTTTCAAAAGAGCTCTAAGCAACATTAGTGCCACTGGAATAAAAGTATGGGTTTTCATGATGATGGCTTTGAAAGATGAGACAGTCATCAGATACAGAAATCCTGATTAGGGGGTTCCCTTTAAACCTACGATGTTAACACTAGTCTGGATTTAAAAGGCCAGGCCAGTATAGGAGGCATTGTATGATAGTGTATTAATGTGGACTGAGTTAGTCTTAGGTTTGAGTCCCGGCTGTCCTTTATTAGCTCTGTGGTTGTGACCGACTTAAGTTTTTTGATCTTTAAAATAATAGTCCCTACCTTATTTGGCAATTGTGAGAACTAAACGTATAATGCCTGTGACACATTTAACAGATAGGATCTCTTAAGAGTTTGAAAGAGGTGCAGACTAGAAGATCCCACAATTTTTAAAAATTAAAAGTGTAACAAAATTCTTTCAGTTGTTTGGGGAAAAGAACATAACAATATAAATACAATAATACAATTAATAAGCTAATTACAAGGTTTACTTTTTTATTTTTTCTTTATTGATTAAGGTATTACATATGTGTCCTTATCTCTCCATTGCCCCCCACCTCCCCACTCATGTCCTCACCCCCCTGTTGTCTGTGTCCATTGGTTAGGCCTATATGCATGCATACAAATCCTTTGGTTGATCTCTCCTCTTACCCTCACCCTCCCCTACCTTCCCTCTGAGGTTTGACAGTCTGATCCATGCTTCTCTGTCTCTAGATCTATTTTTGTTCATCAGTTTATGTTGTTCATTATAATCCACAAATGAGTGTGATCATGTGATACTTATCTTTCTCTGACTGGCTTATTTCACTTAGCATAATGCTCTCCAGTTCCATCCATGCTGTTGCAAATGGTAAGAATTCCTTCTTTTTTACAGCAGCATAGTATTCCTGGTATTTCTGGTTTCTTGGGATATATTCCTAGAAGTGGGATCACTGGGTGAAATGGGAGTTCCATTTTTAGTTTTTGAGGAAACTCCATTCTGTTCTCCACAAGTGGCTGCACCAGTCTGTGACAAGGTTTACTTTTAAATGTGACCCTTGGTGGACTGTAAGTTTAAGTGGCTGCACCGGTCTGTGACAAGGTCTACTTTTAAATGTGACCCTTGGTGGACTGTAAGTTTAAAGTGTTGTCTTTCAGTGAATGTATCTCATTTGGCCATGTCACAAGCCTACCAGTCACTGTGAAGGGAGCTCTCAGCCCTGACTACCCCACCATGGGCCCTGAGCACACTGTCTGGCACTTACAATGATAATCGCTAATGTGATCATCTCATTTGTGGTTTTAGATAGTTTCTAGGTTCAGAACTCGAGTCTGCTACTAGAGCCTGAACTATCTCCTTGTTGCTCATAGTAGTGGGTCTGGTACTCTGGAGAGTGCAAGCCATTTGGATAACACCTCTGTGAACATTAGGGAGCTGGCCTGTAAACCTCTGGGACATGGCACATAGCTCAGACTCTTCCGATAACCATCAATCATGGCCCTGGCCCTGGCTTCTCTCTAGCTTTCTCCAAAGCGCCGTTTACAAAGAAACCTCATCTCTGGTTCCCTCATACAGTTTCCTTTGGCCCTCAAGAGTTTGAAAACCCTCAAAATATTAAAACAGTAATTAATCTCAGGCTAACTTAGAAACAGTAATTTACATACATTCTTAATATATAAATTGGGAAAGAGAAATCTCCTGAAACCAAAAACTCATGTGATTAAACTTTGAACAAACCAAAGGTATGTGTTTAACCAGGTTGAATTTCTCGGCGCAGCGGCCTGCGGATACGAGATTCCTGCTTCAACTACAATTGCAGAGACGTTTTTCTTTGAGAAATGCTTTCCATGGTCACATGATATATACGGATCAACTGGAAACAAAACCCTGTCTACAGGCCAGAATGCATTTCAATAGAAGGACAATGAAACATTTGTGGAAGACATTTAATAATCCAGTAGGTTGCATAGACACGCAGTAACAAGTGCTAAAGGTAATGACTATTGAAGTGATTGAAGTAACAGGACAAAATCGGATTACAGGAAGTTTCAGACTCCAGAAAGAAGGGGGTCTCCAGGGTTTCCAAAGAGGTATTTGTTTGGTTCCAAAAACTGAAGGGAGTGTCTTTGAGACGGCGCCGTAACTTGTGGATGGGTGACCCTAAGATCTGCGTGACTGCGCTGTGGGTTATGGGTGGCAGTCATCTGGGAGGGAACGGGAGGTTTTTATAATTGGGTAGCAATTTCTAGAGAGAGTAAATTTTTTTTTTTTTTTTACTTTTACACTTGGTTTTATTATCTTTTGGGTATGTGAGTTGTCAATTAACTTTTTTTTAGTTATTTTAATTTGATTCTGAGAATGTTTAAATCTTATCCATTTTGCATTAATTTGCTTTTTCTAAACAACTTTTAGCTTTACTTTTTTAAAAACTGTACATTGAGTTTTTAAAATCAGAGATCTGTTTGTCAAATTGTAAAGTATTTGACACTTGTTGTCTTAACAATTTTATTTTATTTTCCTTTTTTTTAATATATTTCATCGATTCTCCACAGAGAGGAGGGGAGAGAGATAGAGAGCCAGAAACATCGATGAGAGAGAAACATTGATCAGCTGCCTTCTGCACATCTCCCACTGGGGATGCGCCCTCAACCAAGGCACATGCCCTTGACTGGAATCGAACCCGGGACCCCCCAGTCCACAGGCCGACGCTCCATCCACTGAGCCAAACCGGCCTCGGCTTGTCTTAACAATTTTAAAAACCACACACAGCCCTAACCGGTTTGGCTCAGTGGATGGAGCGTTGGCCTGTGGACTGAAAGGTCCCAGGTTCGATTCCGGTCAAGGGCATGTACCTTGGTTGCAGGCACATCCCCAGTGGGAGGTGTGCAGGAGGCAGCTGATCGATGTTTCTAGCTCTCTATCCCTCTCCTTTCCTCTCTGAAAAAAAGAAATCAATAAAACATATTTTTAAAAATAAATAAATAAACCACGCACAAAACTCTGTATTTTAGTTCCGTAGTCCAAAAGTGTCCTCCCATTTTGCAATTGACCCACCTCAGCTGAAGAGAGTAGTTTTTTAGAAGTTGAGAACCGAGACACAGGGAGCTCTCGGAATAACCTGGACACAGTCCTGGGCGCTACACTGAGGTGGAGAGGCTGGGCCGGATAAGGAGCAGTAAGTCAGGATGAGGACGGAAGTAGGTGGGCGGGGTTTAAGGCATAAACCTTGGAGGAAGCAGAGAGGAGGGCAATTGTCAAGCAGAAAGGGAACCGGAGTCCAGCAGGCGTTCTGTGAAGAAGACACTGAGCCCTAACCGGTTTGGCTCAGTGGATAGAGCGGCTGCCTGCGGACTCAAGGGTCCCAGGTTCGATTCCGGTCAAGGGCATGTACCTTGGTTGCGGTCACATCCCCAGTAGGGGGTGTGCAGGAGGCAGCTGATCTATGTTTCTAACTCTCTATCCCTCTCCCTTCCTCTCT